TTGTGTGCATTTAAGTGTGTGAGAGTGGGAACATGAAACACCTGTGAGCGCAGTGTGTGTGTATGTGTGAGCATGGGCATGTGGTGCACAAGGCATGTGTGAGAATGCACGTGAGCGAATGTGTGTTGTGTGTGCTCTGTGTGGGTTAGGATGTGTGACCAGTGCATACGAGTGCATGTGTGAGAGTGTGTGCACCGGTGTGTGATATGGTGTGCATGTGTGCATGTGTGAGATATGATATGTGTGTGAGATATGGTATGAGTGTGTGATATGGTGTGTATGTGCATGTGTTTGAGATATGTGTATGTATGCACGTGTGTGTGATATGGTGTGCACGCACACATGTGTGTTGAGATATGGTATGTGTGTGTGAAATGGTGTGTGTGCATGTGTTTGAGATATGCGTACACGTGCATCTGTGTGTGATACAGTGTGTGCACATGTATGTGTATGTATTTGAGATGTGGCATGTGTGTGTTATATGCTATGTGTGCATGCATGTATGTGTTTAAGATAGGTATGTGTGTGATATGGTGTGTACATGTGTGTGTGTGTGACGGTGTGTGCATGTGTGTGTGTTTGAGATATAGTCTGTGTGTGTGAGATGGTGTGTGTGCACATGTGTGTGTTTGAGATATGGTATGTGTGTGTGATATGATGTGTATGTCTTTGAGATATGGTGTGTGTGATGTGTGTGTATGTTTGAGATATGGTGTATGTGCACGTGTGTGTTTGAGATATGGTATGTATGTGTGCTATGGTGTGTGTGTGAGAGAGATATGGTGTGTGTGCATGTGTGTGTTTGGGATATGGTGTATGTGTGTTTAATATATGGTATGTGTGGGTGATATGGTATGTGTGCACGTGTATGTGTTTGAGATATGGTCTCTGTGTGTGATATGGTGTGTGCACACGTGTGTGTTTGAGATATGGTATGTGTGTGATATGGTGTGTGCGTGTGTGTGTATGTTTGAGATATGGTATGTGTGTTTATGTTGTTGGGGAGGAGTGTGTGTGCGTGGTGTAGCCCCCAGCCTCTCTCTGCTTGCACACAGCGGCCCAGAGTTCTCCTGGAGAGTTGGCCTGGACCAAGTGCCCCTGCACCGGCCACACCAGTACTCCCTAGCCATGTGCCCCCTGCCCCCTGCCCCTGCCCCTGCTACCTGGCCCTCCTGCTCCCCCAGAGTTGGGCCGACTGTCTCCGCAGGTGAGATCCCAGGGGGAGAGCTAGTTCCTGACACTCAACAACCTGGCCGCACTCAACCACAGCCAAACTAACCGAATTCCACTTTCCATAGAAGGAGAGGAGGGTGTCGGAGCCTGAAGGGGCAAGTGTCTCCTAGAAGCCCCGAGGCCACCTTCACAGTGGACTGACTGCGGGCCGAGAAGGTGCCACCATGAGAGGGGAGCCAGAGGGGCTGAGGGGCAGGAGTAGAGGCGGCTCTGGAGGTGCCCGCCGTGCTGGAGCCCAGCAGCCCTGGCATCAAGGGCCCAGCAGGAGTAATGGCAGCAAGCCGGCCAAGGACTCGCTCGTGGGCGGGGCTGCCGGCTGACAGGCGGGCCTGAGCTGTCTGCATGCATGTGCAGTCCAGTCTGTTCTGGGGGAGGAAAG